CGTGCCGGCCACCGAGCCCCCGCCGCCCCGGGACCGCTGCTGGCACGACGGCGGCCAGTTCTGCTATTCCTGGGAGGAGGACGCCGAGCTCCGGCTCTCCCTGGAGCCGCCGGCAGCCCCCGGAACCGAGTGCTACGGCGTCCGCTGGAGCCCGCTGCGCCCCGACGTGACCCTGAAGGTAACGGGGACCCCTCTGTCCAGCTCCAAATCCTTTGGGATCCAACAAGGGAGGGCCTGGCCCGGCAATAATCCCCCAGCTCTGTTCTGGGGTCGCACTGTGGCCGCGGCTCCCTGTTCTCTGCAGCCTGAAGGCGCTGGGTGGGAAAAACCTTTTGGAAGCATCGTGCTCCAAAGCTGAGCCCCAAAATCCTGTGGCGGTGCCACGTTGGTGACCCCGAGGTGGGAGAGCTGTGTTTATATGGAGACAGAGTAAATACCCACTGGAGATGACAATGCTGGCGAGAGCCTCGGAAGGTCTCTTCCAACACAGACACAATGGGCAGCTCCCGCGGGATGGGAATAATCCATGTCCGCTGCTGCAAACATTTTTGGTATCATTCCCTGTTTTCTCCCTCAGCTAAATAAAAGCAGACTCTGGGAAGGAGCCTTAGGAGGGGAAGGAGAAGCGGTCAGAGCAGGGTGTACGGTTGTGGGGAGCCCTCAGAAGAGGGAGGGAAGCAGGACAGGATTGTCTGGGATGGAGGATTGTTTCCCTTTTGCCATAAATCACCTGTTGGCACCGTTTTGGGTGGGTGGAAGGTGTTGCCTGGGCACAAACCCTGGGTCTCCTCCACTGCCATGGGTGTGAGGCGTTTGAGAGGATGAGCGAGACAGAATAGGTTTTCGCCCACTTTTTTAAAAAAAAACAACCAAACCCAAACCATTGGAAAATATGATCCAGCGAAATCTGAGTTAAGAACAGACTGTTTTCCCTCTTTCCCAGCTGGTGTAACGAGTTCAGCTGACACCTGGTACAGCTATTCCGAGCCTCCAGGGTTTCCACGTTAATAATTTACATCACCTCTCCACACCCCCTGGAGAGACTTAACCTCTCTGTGCCCCCGAGCTCAGGACTCCAGGAGGCTCTGAAGCCTTGGGATTGGGAATAAAGATGGGGTGAGTTGAGTGGGGGGTCTCCGGGTCCCCTCTGCCACTCCAGACCCCCTTCAAGGCCTCAGATCTCTGGGCTTTTGGGGAAGCCCGTCCTGCCTGGGGAGTCACGAGGACGCTAAGTCCTGCTGATCCTTCGATTTGGCAGAAAGGGGAAAGTTTGAGAAGCTTTGAAGTGAAAACTGATGATTTCTGGCAGGAGGCGGGTCAAGGATGGGGATGTCCCCCATCCCAAGGCCCTGTCATGCCTGCGAGAAGTGCCCCAAATCTCCAAACCGAGTCTCTTGAGGGAAATTCTTGTTATCAGCCCTCGGGAAAGAGGGAAGCTGTGCCTTGGGAGGGAGGATGTGTCACCCTCAGCACACTGGTGACATCAAGGTGAGGCCTCAAGATGGGGCTAAAAGCTCAGGTGAGGGCAGTGGCACTTGCAGATTCACCAGAAACTCTGGGGAGGGCAGCTAGAGAACTTGATATATGTTTTTTAAGTAAAACAGAGAAAAAAAAACCTAGAGAAAAAAATACCAAACTAAAAATACCAACAAAATAAAAAATCTGACCAAACCGAAGAAACCCCACTAAACAAAAAACAACCAACCAAACCAACAAACCAGAGTACATAGATTTTCCAGCTGCGTTTCTGAAAGTGCCCTCAGTGCATTTTAAAGCCATTTTCCTTGAATTTCCACCTCTGTTGTCCTGTCCTACAGCCACTCACACCTGTAGAGTCTCTTTGCTCAAACCTTCATCTTTTCACCTGCAACTCAGAGGTGTTTGATAACTGTGGTGGGTGTAGAAAGTGTGATTGTCGTGGCAGTTTGATTTTATTTGTGCTCCTCCAGCAAAAACTGACAGGCTTTGGGAAGCACTTCTTGCTGTCCCCTTTTTTAAAAATGAAACCATAATTTTACGCTGTATAAGGGACACCTTCCACTAGCACAGTTTGCTCCCAGCCTGGCCTTTCTGCTTCCTCTGAGCATTCCTTGCTCTTTGATGATGCTTTCCTGGCTGCAGGATTGTTTTTCCATGGCCAATGTGTCCTGGTATGGAGGGCCAAGCATCCGTGCCCAGCGCTGGCCCCTCAACAGCGCCGAGAGCCCCGCGCAGCCCTTGGTCAGCGGCGACCTCAGCACAAACCCCGGTGGCTTTGGGCCTGTCCTGGAGAGGTATTTCCTGGGATCCACAGGTAACCACGTCCTTCCCTGTCCAGTGTCCAAGAGCTTCAATCCCTGTGCTTCTCTGCCCCTCTCCTCCCCTCTAAAGCAGATGGTTAAATAGCAGCGTAGATGTCCCTGGGAATAAAATATCCTGCAAATGTAGCAGCAACAGGCCACATGGATCCCACACCGCCTCATCCCTGTGGGAAAGGCCGTGATACTGAAGCTGAGTGCCTGAGCATGGGGTGGCCCAAGTCACTCCAGGGCAACCCCGCGCTCTCGGTGTGCCTGGTTTGTTTTTAAGCCCAGATCTGTGCCCATTGCTGCATCCCCAGCTCCACTCCAGCAGATTCGTGGCTCCCTGATGCTGCTGTGGAATGCTGGATTCAGGCAGGAGTTCAGCTGCCATTTTTAGACACATCTCAAGTGTCATTTTATGGGGTAGATTTGTATTATTCTGCAGAACATCAAACTTCAGATATTACAAATTAATTTAATTGACCTGCAGCTGCCCTGCACTGCTGAGGCTGCTGAATGCCGAGCAAATAAAGCCAGGAAAGGGAGAAATGCAACCCTTGAAAGGCATTGGACTCTACAAGGGAATAGCAGGAGCAGGGTGGGGATGGTTGGCACAGTTGGATGTGTGGTGGGATAAACCCAGGAGGCCTTGGCACCAAGTTAGGCTCTGCCCCTCTCATCCCTGTGGCTCCCAGGACGAGGAGCAGCCGGGTGCTCGCTTAGACACCGTTTTCCCACTTTTCCCCTAAAGGAGTGACGGTGACCGTGGCTCCTGACGTGTCCCTGCTGCTGTCTCTGGAGAGCCACAGGCAGTTCTGCCTGGAGACGCCGGCAGGACGAGCGGAGGCCCTGCACTACCAACTCTGTGTCAGCGCTGACGTGGCGGCCGCCCGCCGGCACACGGCCAGCGCTCCGGCGGGAGCAGCTCGGACACTGCCGGACACCGCGCTCCTGGGGTGAGCTCTCCTTCCCACGATGGTGGGAACCCTTCCAAATGTCCGGCTCGCAGTCCCAAGCATCTCACGAGGAATTTCCCACCCTGCAGGTCTCCGATCTGGCGGTACCACGGCCCAGAAGCTTCTGCCGCCAAAATCAAGCGAGGCCTGAGGTCTCTGGTGAGGAGGCTGAAGCGGCATCGCCTTCAGGAGGGCGTCGTGGCCCTGGGGGAGCATGGCACCGCCGTCCTCGCTGCCGTGGTACGGCCGTCCTGCCGCCCTGTGGGCACACGGGAGCGTGGTGCTCCTCTCCCACAAAGCCCTTATGCCTGCCCTTCCCGCCCGCAGGACCTCGTGCCCTCGCAGCGCAGGAAGAGGCAGGCCCCGGCGCTGGTGGAACCTTTGGAGCTCTCCATCACGCTGTCCCCGTACGCCGGTGTCACCTCCCCGCTCTTCCTGCGCTCCCTGCGCGGCGGAGAGGCCACGGGATACTGGCTCAGCCGCCAGCCCCGACCCGGGGGCAGCTCGGTACGGGACCCCCTCAGCCCCCAAACCAAAATTAAAGCTTAATAAATCCCCTCAGGTTTATTATTTATCAAGGGACACAGCCTGATCCCGCTGTGCTGGGACACAGCAGGGCTGGGGGAAGCGGCGTCTTTCCTCGTTCCTACAGAAGCAGCTTTAAAACATCCACGTCCAGTGTTCAGAAGATTCCCCAGCTCCATTTTGTGTGGTCATTTTAATGATCCCTTTGCCACTAGCTCAGGGGTTTTTGGGGGATTGAGGGAGAGTTTACACCGTGATGCGCTGCACCGTGACAGTGCAGGGTGGGATGAGGGCAGCATGGCATCCCCCAGCCTTGCACCCCAGAATCAGCAGGATATTCGATGGATCCGACAGGGATTTCAATCCTCCTCCTCTGCAGATTCCGCTGCTGACCACCTGGAAGGGGCAGCTCTGCGCCCGCCTGAACGTCACCAGCGAGGCAGCGCTGGGCTGGTACCTGGCTCGCGCCCGGCACCTGCGGCAGGCCCTGGGGGCCACCTATGTGGCCTTTGAGGGAGTCGAGGGCAATTCCTTCCTGGAGCAGGATGTCCCCGCTCCTGCTGAGCTGGCAGTCGATGGATACACCGAGGTGCTGGCAGCAGCATTGGCAACACTGGGAAATGGCACCATCATCAGCGCCGGGAGCAGGTGGGCACCAGGGAGAGGCTGTGCTGGAGCCGACAGGCACAAGAGCTCGCTGGGAGATGGCTGAACTGGTGCTTGGAATATGTTCTTGGTATTCTGAGAGGTTTCTGGGCACCCAGGGAAGCAGTGATGAAGTGGGCTAGGGCAGTGTGTTGGAGCCAATGATCCTTGTGGGATCTGAGAGTGGTGTGGCCCCGGCATAGGGTGCCCAGAGCAGCTGTGGCTGCCCCGTCCCTGGAAGAGTCCAAGACCAGGTTGGATGGGGCTTGGAGAAACCTGGGATAGTGGAAGGTGTCCCTGGCCATGGGAGGGGGTGGGACTGGATGGACTTCAATGTCTCTTCACACCCAAACCATTCTGGGACTATAATCTGGCCCAAATGACTCCCAAGCCAGCTGGGCATCATGGAATTTCAGCTCCTGCAAGCCCTCTAAGCACCTTGAAGGGTTTGTGTTGTTTCCTCAGATCCAGTCACCTCCCGCTGTTTGTCCAGATGAGGCCCCTGCGCTCCGACTGGAGCCATGCCGGGCTGAAGGGGCTCATCCCCTCCGTGCTGCACTACAGCCTCCTGGGCTACAATTTCTTCATCCCTGATGCAGTAGGTAAGGATTTTCCATTTTCTCCCCTATTTCTGACTTCTCTGCAGTGAATTCTGAACCCTTTTTCCAGGCATGGGAGGTACGTTTGCACCTTAGGTGTTCTATGGGATGGCTTGGAGCGTTTTGCTCCCCAGTTTTCTGTTATGCTGGCTTGATTGGGATGAATGTTACCAGGAAGAAAGTGAGGAATTAAAACCAGAAGAATCTGCTGCAAATATTGCCAGGCAACTCCAGCAGCAGCTGAGTCTCTGGGGATGCTCTTCCCAGAGTTCCACCACAGCCCACTCCTGCAGGGCTTGGCTTGGGCTAAATCCCACCTGGCACAGCCAGGATCCAGGCTACTAGCTGGGGTATGGATGTTCCTAAAACTCAGCAGCTCTGCTCCAAGTCTGTATTTCTGCTCCAAAGCAAAATGGCTGCAGAAATCCTGAAATAAAAGCATTATAAAAGGGCAAGAAACAACCTTTAATCAGGGTCAAGTGGATCCATTTCCCTTTTTCTTGGAGCTGATGGAGTTAGTGGTGGTTAAAACATGCCCTGAGTGCGTAGAAGTGTCAAACGTGGAGAGCTGAGCTAAACAACAGCCCTGAAATAGGGTTGAGAGCAATATTTCAATTTGGCCTCTAGTTTTAGCCTGTTTTCCTTAGAAAATGAAGCTCAAGCAATCCCAGAACAGGAGTTTGCTTCCCAAAGAAGTGCTGGAGTCCTTGGCTTGGATTGATGAGAGTGCAGATCCTCCTGCACAGAGAGAGCTGGGCAGTTTGCTGCCAGGGGTTGTGTCCCAACAGCCTGGGAGCTGCAAGAGTTGGGAAAAGCCTCTGGAGGAAACAGGAATTTGTGGATGGCTGGGTGAGCCCTCAGCCTTGGGGGATTTGTGCCATTTCCAGGGAAGCTGTGCCAGGTTTTCAGAGCGATGGCTCCCAGGGATGCTCTGGCTCCCAGGGGTGCTTTGGGCACTGGAAGGAACTCGGAGGTGTCCCAAGGACCTTTTCATGCCATGTGAGGCCCTCACTCCAGCCCCATGTTCCTGCAGGAGGGAGCGTGGCTGGAGCCACCCCGGGGGACCCGGAGCTGTTTGTGAGGTGGCTGCAGATTGTGACATTCCTGCCGGTGATGGCCTTTGGGACCCCGCCCTGGCTCTGCTGTGATGCCTGGGTACGTATCCCACACTCCAGATGGCAGAACACCGGGATTCTGACATGGCCAATGCCTCCAAAACCCATGGAAGGCCTGGCAGGGATCTCCTACCAGCTGCTGTTCTCAGCTTTCCATTGAAGTGGGAATAAATCCATTATCAGTGGGTTTAGGTTGAAGTACCAATGGATTTAAATCCAATGGATTTGTACCTGTTATCAGTGGATTTAATTATATTTCAATTCAGTGGATTCATATGCATTATCAGAGGAATCAAAATTATTAAGGTCCTTTATGAATAGATGTCCATTGATAAATCCATTTAAATCCAATTAATTACCATTATCAGTGGAAGTAAATCCATGTGCTCATATTCATTGTCAATGGATGTAAATCCATTTAAATCCAGTGGGTTTATATTCATTATCAATAGATTTAAACACAATGGCTTTATACTCAGGATCAATACACTTCAATCCATTTATATCCAATAGATTAATGTTCAATATAAATGGATTTAAATACATTTAAGTCAAATAGATTCATATTTATTATCAATGTATTTAAATCCATTTGTATCCGATGCATTTGTAATCACTATCAATAGATTTAAATGCAATGGATTTATAATAATTGTCAACAGATTTAAATCCATTTACATCAAATGTATTCATATCCATTATCAATGTATTTTAAATCATTAAAATACAATGATTTTGTATCCATCAGCAGTGTATTTAAACCCATTTAAGTCCACTGGATTTAAATTAATTAAAAATCAACGATGGATTTAAACCTATTAAAATCCAATGAATTCATATCTGCTATCAATGCATTTAAATCCAGCCAATTTATAACAATTTACAATGGATTTAAAGCCATTTAAATCAAATTGATTTATGTCCATTATCAGTGGATTTAAATGTATTACCAATGGATTTATATTCAAATCAATTAATATCCAGTATCAACCCCATTTTACACCGTAACCTGATCAGGACAATCCAACTCAGTAGTTTTTCTTCCCAAGGGAATACAAATTTTACTTTTAAAATTTCAATTATTTATTTTTGGGGTTTTTTTCCTCCGCCTGCTTTGCTGTTTCCTGGGCATCGGGCTCCTCATGGATTTGTCCCCCACCTTCAGGTCCTGAATCTGACCCGCCAGTGCATCCAGAGGCACCGGGACTTCGTTGTGCCGCTGCTCCTAAAATACAGCCAGGAGTGGCAGAGTTTGGGATACCCCATCTTCCGTCCTGCCTGGTGGCTCAGCCCCACGGACCCAGTTGCGTTCACCATAGAGGATGAGTTTCTCATTGGAGATGAGGTGGGAGTTCTGTGTTGTTCCTGTAAATCCAGCTCTGCGCAAGTACACACCAGGGGTTGGATTTGAGCAGATTTAAATCCAATCCAAAGCAGCTGAGTTTTGTGGGTTTGGGGTTTTTGCTTTTTGGAAAAGCTTGGCTTTCCTCCTGAAGCTCTCATTTAGGGCCCCGAGACCCTCTATCAGTTTTGGAAGTGAAATGATTTAGTAGGAATAAAGAGCCTCAGAATGTTGGGAACTGCTTTTGGGAACCACTTTTCCCATAAAACAAGAGAAAAAAATGCTCCCTGAAGGTGGGATTACATTGGCTCTATCCCTGGGGAGGAGGTTTTGCAAGAAACACACATTTCTAATGGGTTTTTTCATTCTGGTTTTCGAAAATATAGACTGGATGGAATCTTGGGGCAGCTGCAGGCAGGGATGACCCCAATCCCAGTCAAAGGAATGTCACTGCACTGCATTAATGTTTTTAAACTGACAGAAGTCTGGGATAGATGGGATTGGGAAGGAACTCCCTGTGAGGGTGCTGAGGCCCTGGCACAGGGTGCCCAGAGAAGCTGTGGTGTCAGAAGACGTGTGCCCCATCTCTGGAAGTGTCCAGGGCCAGGCTGGATGCAGCTTGGAGTAATCTGAGATAGTGGAAGGTGCCCCTGGCCATGGCAGGGCGTGGGACTGGATGATTTTTAAGGTCTCTTCCCACCCAAACGATTCCAGGACTCCCTGATGATCATCTCATCTCCACATGTGCATCCTGGCTAATCCTCCATCTCCTGAAGTTTTTTTTGTTGTTTTTTTTTGGTTTTTTTTGTTTGTTTGTTTTTTCTTTTCCCTGCAGGTCCTGGTTGCTCCAATAACAGAAAAGGGACAAACATGGAGGGATATCTACCTGCCAGGAGAGGGGCACCTCTGGCTGGACACCAACACTGCCCGAGTGTTTGATGGTGGCACCACCCTCAGGAATTACTCTGCCAGCCTGGCTGAGGTGCCAGTGTTTGTAAAGACCTCCTGAGTCCAGGCTGGGCAGCTCTGGGACAGAGACCTCCAAGGGCAGCGCTGGCCACAGGCACTCGCTCTCCCTCAGACCTCCAGCCTCTTTGCACTTTTCCAAGATCCCTTTTTCTTTTGTTTTGTTTTGTTTGTGGGTTTTTTTATTATTATTTTTTATTTTATTTCAGCAGAAATGGTCTGAATTTTCTTACTTGTCATTATCCCAAAATAGTGGTTCTGCCACCAACATCCATCCACAATGAATGCTGCATTTTTTCCAGGGTTTTCCTCGTCAAATGTCTGTGTGTGTATGTTCAGGTGGGCATATCCAGCATTTTCAGGGCCCTGGAACCATGCTCAGAGAGGCAGGGAGAGAATTTCCCAGGAGATAAACAAACATCAGCTTATACCTGAGGGGAAAATTTGTATTTAATGAAAAAAATTAAATCTAGGGGAAAAACTCCCAGGATAATTTTGGTGCCGTGTGTGGCCTCCTCCTGTGCTGAGCAATGCTTCTCCCACCTGAGGCTGTGTGTGGTTTCCAGGTAGCAAGAGCCCACCTTCTGAGTATATTAGGGAAAATGAGTGAACTCCAGGTGTATTTGAAGCAGGTTTCTGTGGAAGAAAAATAAATTTGATCGAGCAGAGGAGTGGCTCTACCAGAGCATGATGCAGATATCAAAGATCTTTACCCACCCCTGTGTGCCCAGGCTCCTGCTTTTCACTGTTTGTTGAATTTTATGGCTTTTTTCCAATTATTTCTTGCAGTGCAAGGGGGATCCGGTGTGACCAGCCTCCTTCTATCCAGCAGAGAATGTATCCATAGACAAAATCCACATCCCACATGTGGAATATGCATTTAGGGAGATTATCAGCTGTGCTGATACCCCAAATTAGGGATCAATGGGACACCGCAGGATGATTCCTGCAATGGGATGATTCCAAAGGCTGGCATTTGGGGATAGGGGCTGGATGACAGCTGGGAGGGAAGTTTAGGGCAAGTTTTGGCCCTGGAGCTGGGCTGAATTGCATCAGCCACACCTTGGGTTTTTGGGGAAAATATTTCTCTACCAAGAGGTGGCTCTGCTGAAAAAATGCTAAGGGGTGCTAACTTCTCCTAGCAAAACTTCCCTGGAAAAAAGGTCGCACCAAGGGAAATATAGGCTGGATATTAGGAGAAGGTTTTTTACAGAAAGGGTGATAAAGCATTGGAATGGTCTGCCCAGGGAGGTTGGTGGAGTCACCATCCCTGGATGTGTTTAAAAAAAGACTGGGTGTGGCGCTCTGTGCCATGGTCTGGTTTTCGGTGTTAGGGCATGGGTTGGACTCGATGATCTTGGAAGTCTCTTCCAACCTAGTCATTCTGTTGAATTCTATTGAAAACTGAAGGGAAAGCAAAGGCAAAACCCAAGTCAGGTTCAGCCATGGAGAGACTGTGAGCACATGGAAGAGGAGAAGAGCCCCTTGGCTCCTTCCTTCTTCCACAGAGGCACTTCATGGTGCTGGGGGAAGCTCACAGAGGGACAGGATGAAGCTCATGAGGGCAACCCAAGGGCCTGGGATGCTCCAAACTATCTGTGGAGGCTCCTGAGGTGGCAAAAACACAAAAAGAAGGAGTGCTGGCTCAAGTGGCATTTGTTTATTTGCAGCAAGTCAAGCCCTGGAACGGGATGTCCAGGAGGGATCTGGAGGCTCCATCCTGGGAAATCACCAAAGCCTACCTGGACACCCTGGGCTGAGCCTGAGTGTGGCAATTCATGTTTTGGGAGGGTGGGCTATGTGTCCCTGCACTGGTGCCAGCTCCTCCCTGAGGAGCCTGGGATGTCCTGCTGGGACGCTGGAGCTTGTCCCTGGTCAGCATTCCAGCTCCTCCAGCGCCTCTGGTTTGTGGAGTGGTCGCGGGGCACCATTCCCTGGGAGGCTCTTTGGGAGCTCTGGCCTCTCCTGTGGGATCTGCCCCGGGTTCGCCTCCTTGTCGCATGCTGTTGCCTGGGGGAATCCCAGTCTTCCCACTGGTGTCTCTCACTCCTCCTCGAGGGAGTGTCACTCTGGGACCTTGGAGTGTGTCTGTCATCATCATCCCAGCTCCTCCAGCGCCTCTGGTTTGCGGAGTGGTTGCGGGGCATCGTTCCCTGGGAGTTCTGGCCTCTCCTGTGGGATCTGCCCCGGGTTCGCCTCCTTCTTGTACGCCGTTGTCTGGAGGAATCAGAGTCTTCCCGCTCTCCACGTGTCTCTGGGGAGATGTCTGTGGGGACATCGTGTTGGGGCCTTGGAGCGTGTCTGTCATCAGCATTCCAGCTCCTCCAGCGCCTCTGCCTTGTGGAGCGGTCATGGGAGCCTGTCTGGGCATCCTGGTCTCTAGGGGAGGACCTGCTCTGTCGCCTGTCCCAGCCATGGGAACGCTCCCTGTCCCTGCTCCACCTGCGGTGGCCCCATGGCTGCTCATGCTGGCTCCATGACCTGCTGGACCTGCCCCAGGATTGATTTCCCTGTGAGGAGGCCGGGATGGCCCATTCAAACCTTCGAATTTGTCCCTCTTCAAGTGCTTCCTCCCAAGCCCTTCTCTGCTGCTGCCACCACCTTGAGGAGTCGCTGCCTCGGGTGTGCCGAGACTGCCGGCGGCCATTGCGGGGCCACCTCATGGATCTCCTTCTCCTCCTCTCCCAGGGCCTGCCACGTCTGAAGTGTCCATAAAGGCTCCATGGCTGCTGTGCATAGTGGCTGCTCCATCTCTGCTTGCTGTTGTACACCCGGTCCTGCACCTCGTGGTACAGGGCCACGTGCTGGGGGTAGGGGTGGCGTGTGGGCCGCTGGCAGCGCGGGCACACGGCCTCGCCCAGGCTCCAGTCCCACGTGCACAGCTGGCAGAAGCAGTGCCGGCACGAGCTGGTGCACACGGTGCTGATGTGCTGGCACTCCGGGCACCCGGGATTCTCCTGGTTGCTGTCCTGCGGCGCGGCCGGGGCCGCCTGGCTGGTGTTGGCAGCAGAGGTGCCCGGCTCTGGAGTGTCCTCCTTCGATGACATCTCGCCCTGCAAGATGCACAAAGTCTGTTTGCAGGTACCTCTCCCCAAAACCCCACATCTCCTTGTCCCACTGGGGCTGCCCCACACCTCATCAGCAGGGCTGTGGTGGGGCTGGAATAGCGGTGTTTGCACCCCACGGGCCTCACCGTGGGATTGCGGCTCTGTGTTCCCTGTCCTGCTTTTGTGACATCGCCCATGTCCTGTGGCTGCTGTGACATCACTGATGGTGGTGTCACAAAGGGCCATTGGTGAGGTGTGGGACGGCCCCCAAGGGCTGAGGTGCTGTACTCGGGTTTTGGGACAGGTGTCAGCGGATAAATTTTGTTTCCTTGCAGGGCAAGAAGGTGTCACAAGGAGGGAGTCCAGAGAGGATCCTCAGGGGGAGGCCACAGGAGGTCCCTGAGGTGGCACCACGATGGTCACAGGAGGCCTCGACATGCCCAGGGCCATGGTTCATCAGGAACTGCAGGGTTAGGACAAGGGGAATGGCTCCAAAATGGAAAAGGGGAGATCTAGGTGGAATACTGGGAAGAAAATCTTCCCTGTGCAGGTGGTGAGGCCCTGGCACAGGGTGCCCAGAGAGGCTGTGGCTGTCCCATCCCTGAAGCATTCCAGGCCGGGCTTGGAGCAACCTGGGATAGTGGAAGGTGTCCCTGGCCATGGCAGGGGGTGGCACTGGATGAGCTTTAAGGTCCCCTCGAGCACAAATCATTCCAGGATTCTCATCAAGAAGGAGGTGGCAGCAGAGCATGAATGACACTGACGATGACTTTAGTCTGCACCCTGAGAGCAGAGCCTCTGCTTGGGTGAGGCTCCATGGAGACAGACCAGGAATCTTTCATTTTATTGCACTAGCTAAGATCACCTCTCTGAAACAATTAATTTTGCTGGAATCACGGCTATCCAGTTTTCTTCATGATCTCAGGTTGATCTCAGCTTTGTTGCTATTGTTGATAAAGGTAAGTAACCTTCAGCCATGAGGACACAAATCCTGCCAGAATAAAGGAGTAAGTGCTGAAAAATTCAGTATCCTGTGTGTGGGACTAATTGCATAGGCTTTCTTCTACAGTGCTCTTTTATTAGAGCACTGGGGGGAAAGGGAGGTATCATAGATCAGTAAGAAGACCAGAATTTCCCAAGAAGCTATGCCTTGGGCTGAGATGGATGCTCTTTCAGAACAACAAAACCAAGTATGTTTTTGGGAACAGGCTGTAGCTGGGCTCACACCACCCCGCCACTGCCACAGACTTCCCGAGGAGGTGGTGGAGTGCCATCCCTGGAGGGATTTAGTGCGCGGATGTGGATCTGTCCGTGGAACTAAGGAATACAGGGGTGACCTTGGGTCACAGCAGGATCTACGTGCCGTTAGCGCTAAGGGATCGGTGCCCACGCACGGCCCCACGGGACTTGTAGTTTTCACCTAGTTTCTCCCCGCTCTCAGCTGCCACTAACGAACTACAACACCCAGCATGCCCAGCAAGGCTCTGCGCACCCTGACGGTCCCTGCCTCTGGGGCCGCGCGGTGCATCACGGTGCTTGTAGTCCAATCTTCCCGGGCGGCGCGTGGCGTGGCGGCGTGTGAGTACTACATTTCCCAGCGACCGCGGCGCCAGGAGCGGAACCGGGAAGCGCGAAGATGGCGGTGGATAAGGAGCTGTTGGAGCGGGACCTCTACGGGCTGCTGGGGGTCGGCGAGAAGGCGTCCGAGAAGGAGGTGAGGGGCGCGGGCGGCTCGGCTCCTTCTCCCCCCTCCCTCCCTGTCTCGGTGTTCTCGGGAGCGGTGTGTTCCCGGCGCGGCTCGTGCTGCTCTCCAGTGCTGAGCTGAGGGGCTGCTCCAAGCGCTGCTGCGGGACCGGGGCTGTTAAATGGAAAAAGCCCGTTTTTACTGAGGTTGGCTTTGTCATATCCCGGTTTTACTGGAATTGGCGTCATTCCCCCAATTCACCCCTGTGCGTTCTCAATCCTGCGGGGCGAGGCCCGCCTTTGGAGGAGGAGATGGCTGGGAGAGAGCTGCGGAGTTGGTCTGGAACGCTGTTGTTCTCGCTTTGTTTATGTGCTTCCAGAAAGGAAATTCCCGTGTTGATCCAAAAATCCAGTTGTTAGAGGTTTGTCCGAGTGCCCCAAAAGTCGTGTAGTTGATTTTGTGCGGTTGGAATTTCATGTTTGTGGCTCTTAATTGAATTAATTGGTTATTCAGTGCTAAACACAGGAAGGAAGTTCCGAGAGAGCTGCAGAGGGGCTCTGGACAAGGGCCTGGAATAACAGGATTAAAAGGAAAATTAAAAACCCTGCCAGAGAGCAGGGTTAGGTGGGACACTGGGAAGGAATTCTTTGCTGAAATGGGAAGTTGGAGGATGGAGCCCAGGAGGAGACTCCTCTCCCTCAGCTGGACTCTTTTGCAGGAGGTGGGGTCATCTGCAGGGCTTTTCCTGCATATTCCCAATCCCGGGAGCTTTGTCCACCAGGTGGGGCCGGGACACAATTTTTTCCACTTGTTTTAGCAGGGAGTTGGTTAGGAGTGGGATAGAGGGGCTTCCTTTTTTCCCTCCTCCCCCCCCCCCCCCCTTTTTTTTTTTCCATTCCACTTTTTTCTCCATTTCCCCATTTTTCGTTCTCTTTACCTCTTTTTCTTTTTTACTTCTCTTCCTTTCCCCATTTGTTTTCCTTTCCCTCTTTTCCCCTTTCCCCTTTTTTTGGTTCCCTTTCCCTCTTTTTGATTCTCTTTCTGTTTTTTTTTTCCCTTCCCCCATTTTTTTATCATCTCCCCCTATTCCCCCTCCCCACCTTTTTCCTTTCTCCTCTTTGGTTTCCTTTCTCCATATATTTTTCCTCTCCTCCTTTTTCCCCCCTCTCTTCTTTTTTCTCTTCTCTCCTTTTTTTCCCCTCTCCCTTTTTTCCCCTCTCCCTTTTTTTACCTGAGGTTTAACTGCTGCAACACAAGACACCTGGGAAGTAAAAACAGCTTTTAAAAGCTCCAACTCCTTCCAGACACGGCCGTGTCCTGGGCCCAGTGGGTTACCCTCAAACACAGGGATGATTTTGGTTTTCCAAGTAGCTTTTTTTGGCAGAGACAAACCAGTTTCCCCCCAGTAACTCCCGGTGTGGCCTCTGCAGGTGAAGACAGCGTTCCGGCAGAAGGCCCTGACCTGTCACCCGGACAAGAACCCAGACAACCCCCGGGCAGGTGAGATGTGGCAACTCTTCCTGCTGGAGTTTTCACCACTCCAGGCTCCTGGAGATGGCTCTGCTTCCCTAAGTCCTTAGGGAATGGCTGGGTGTGTGTCCCTGGGAATACACACAGAGCTGGGAGTTGCTCCTGTTGGTGTTAACTCTGCTTTTTAATGCTGAACAATCCTTGCTGGGTTTAGAAATTCCGGCATTAAGTAAGTGCTGGAATTAAAACCGCACCTCTCCAAACCTTCCCAACCTTTGCCTGTTTGGACACTGCTTTGATCTGTGTCTCTCACAGTTCAAACTTCACCAGCACTCCATAAATCCCATTATCTGTGGGCAGGGCAAGGAGGAATTTCAGCTGCCTGCAGCGAGTGATTGCTGTGGATGGAGGCTGTAGAATTAGCAGTTACTCTGTATTTTGTGTGTCAAGACTGACAATTCATCTTTATTAAAAATAAGAACAATTTGCCAATGCTTGTAATGGGACAAGAGGAAAAACTTTTAAACAATATATGGCTGTCATTCAACAACTTCCAATACAACATAAGCAGGACTTGTTGAAGGAGAAGGAAATTGTGAGCTGCAGCTAAAAGTGGCATGAAGGAGATACAACCCAAAATAAACCCAAAATACAAAGAATCAGTAAGAAAAAAATAAGTCTGTGTGTTCCAAGATTTCTCTTAAAATGAAACAATCCCATTTTTTTGTTTCTTTATTTACTCTCAAGTTTGTATAACACCTTTGAGTTGAGGTGGCCCTGGCTAGAGGTTGGCTTAAAAATCTCTTGGAGAGGTGATTTTTCTTCCTTGGGGAGACCTTCCTGCTGGATTTTTTTTTCCTGGTTCTTCCCCAGGTCCCTAACCTGGTTTCCCTCATCTTGTCCTTATTTCTTCTCATTCCCAGCGGAAATCTTCCACCAGCTGTCCCAGGCCTTGGCCGTGCTCACAGATGCAGCAGCCAGGGTAAGGATGCTCGCTTGGGAAGGGTGGGATTTTTTAGTGTTGCTGGGAACTGTATTCCTGCCTGTCCTGCTCTCTGCTCCAACAGAGACTTTGTGAATACAAATTTCAGCTGTTATTCCCCCTGGATCTCCATGAGATCATATCTCAGGTGCCAGGTAAAAGCCTGGAGAAATGTTTGGGATTTGCTGCTGGGAGCAGCTCTGCCCCAAGATTCTGCCTTTAGTAACTTGCTGGGCTGGGGCATATCCCATTTAATAACACCAGTGATAACCATTCCTGATTCAGGAACACCAAATTTCCATGGCAGCAGTGCATCTGCCATTCCCATCAAATCAGGGGCTAACAATTGAGTAATACCTGGATCCAGTTCCTGAGGCTCCAAGCTTTGCTGTCTGTGGAACACAGGAGAGCTTGGATCCTTCTGGAGTTGTGAGGAAGTGGCAGAGAACCCACTGGCCAAAGCCTGGAAGAACCTGGAAATTTCCCTGGAAAGAATAAAAACAAACCAAAAAATGAGCAAGGAGCTCTCTCCAGGTTAGCTCAGGAGAGGGAAAAGTGTTGATTCCAGGTGATAAGAGCTAAAAACATTTACTACTCTTTTCAGGGATTGGCAAAGCTTGTAATCCAAGAAGCAGCATCCAAGATGCTTCACCCCTGCTGACAGGGTTTCAGTCCCTGATGTTGTTGTATTCCCTGTTTTCCAGTTTCTCTCCTGGTTTCTGTAGTTTCCCACTGTTGTGCTGGTTCCTTGGCAGGCAGCCTATGACAGGGTGAGGAGGGCGAAGAAGGAGGCTGCAGCAAGGACACAGAAACTCGATGAGAAGAGGAAGAAAGTAAAACTTGGTAAGAAGAAACAAAACTTCACGTTCTCCTGAAGTCTCCCTTAGCTGGCTGTTTGCATTTCTCCTTCCACAGGAATCCCCCAGGGATCAACCTATGCAGGGGTGGCTCTGGTTTCTTTGTGCCCACTGCTGTGCAGGAGCCACCTGCAATCTCCTCCCACAGCCATAGCTGGGGTGGTCCTGCTCTGGGAAGGAGGGAATTAGGTCCAGCTGTTTGAATTAGGAGGTTGAGGACTGTTAAGACTTCTTTGGTGTGTGGGACCAGAGGGAGATGCAGCAGAGCTATCAGGATATTGGTGTAGCTGTAGCAAAGTTTGCGATCTATCCATCTTCCTCTGGTCAGCAGGGAAAATTCAATTTCTCTTTGGATTGCTTTAATTTTGTTTCTTTCTCTGCAGATCTCGAAGCCAGAGAACGAGAAGCCCAGTCCCAGGAGAACGAAGAGGAGGAGATCAGGATAACGAGATCATTAGAAGAAGAAGTAAGGATAAATTCTTAGTTCTGTCTGCTGTTTTTGAGAAGAATTGCTGGCAGTGTTTCCATTCATGAGGAAATCCGTGGAATGAGGTGCAAAAAAATCTCTGGAGAGCAGTCCTTCAACCTTTGGGGTTAAAAGGCTCTGTGAATCAGAGAATCCTGGAATGGTTGAGTTGGAAAGGACCTTAAAGCCCTTCCAGTTCCAGCCCCTGCCATGCTCAGGGACCCCTTCCACCAGACCAGGCCACTCCTTTTGGAGCTCTCCCAGGGGAACTGGCAGGAGGGGTGTCCCAGGAGATGGGTGTGAGACCCAGGCTGTCCTTGGAAGTGTCCAGGTGACATTCCAGGTCTGGCTCTGTGCCTCAGGTGTCCGTGCTGTGTTCCCTGTGCCCTAGATAATCCGCCTGCGTGAGGAGGGCTCCCGGCAGCTGGAGGAGCAGCAGAGGCTCGTCAGGGAGCAGATCCGCCTGGAAAGGGAGCAGCACAGCCGAGGTGAGCACAGGGGAGCCTGGAGCCCTCACCTGCAGGTGGCATTGGGCTCATTGGCAGCTGTCCACACTTAATTTTTCCAGTTGTCCCAGCACAACCTTCTTGCTGGGGAAAATGCCTCAGAACATGTCTCCTGCTTGTATTTTTGCTGACCTGTTCCTAACCTTGATCACAGCAAGTCTGGGCTTCCTAGAAGGGAAAAATGCTGCCATGGAGTCTTGAGTCTGTGCTGCAATTCCTGTTGCACGAGATTTCCACTGGAATGGTCCAGTGGAAATCCCAAAGTCTTTCATCATATGTATGTTCTCAGGGAAAAAAGAAATTGTGCAAAATGATAAAGAATTTTCACCCATGTCCTTTCCATTTTTTTATTTATTTTTTTTTTTTCCTTTTTCTCTTTTTAGGCAAGCAGGAAAGAAATGGGGCAGAAGGCAAAATAACTCCTAAGCTCAAGGTAAGAGATCCTTAAAAAGCTTTGTTTTGGTGAAAACTGTGATAGAGCATGGTGGAAAACAGAAGGGACATTCCAGCCCTGCTGAGCTCGCACATCCTTTTTTATACTGAAGACGAAATTCCTCCATGGAATGTGCATCATCAGGTGAACAGCTCCTGTCCTTGCTGTTAGAATTCCTTTCTCTCTCACCTTTTCTTTGGCTGCTCCAGATTTCTGAGCCTGGGATTGAATTGTCTGTGCTTTAAACCCAGGGAAACATCTGCTAATTACCCTGTCAGAGCCATTAGCATCCTTTCAAGTGCGATCTTTTTTTATTCCAGTGAGCAGCGTTTCTCCCTGTTCCCCAAACAGTTTGTTCCCTGTACTCACTCCCATGCTGAGATCACTGTTTTGGCAGGCCTGGGAGTGTGGCTGGAAATAGCAGACATGGTGAATGTGCACTGGGTGGGAGCTGCTTGAGCAGACAGCACATGCAAACGGGAAAAATTAACTCCTCGTGTTTGTTTCCCAGCTCAGGTGGAAATGCAGGAAGGAAGATGAGACAGGAGGGGGATACTCCAAAGATGTGCTGCTGAAGATCCTGCAAAAGGTCCTGTCTGACACTCTTCCCTATTTATTACTGTGTCTTCCCTGCTCTCAGTGTTGTAAGAATAGTGAATTCTGGGAAGATGCATATCACAGAACCATGGAATGGTTTGGCTTGGAAGGGACCTTAAAAATTATTCAGTTCCACCCCTTGCCACAGGCAGGGACATCTTCTACTAGACCAAGTTGCTCCAAGCCCTATCCAACATGGTCTTGGACATTTCCAGGGATGGGGCAGCTACAGCTCCTCTGGGCAACCTGTGTCAGGGCCTCAGCACCCACACAGGGAAGGATTTTATCTAATATCTAATCTAAACAGGTAATCTGATCTAAAGAGCTGGTTTGAAGACATTCCCTGTGTCCTGTCACTTCGTGCCCTTGTAAGCTCTGAACTGGAGTGGTTCATTTCTTTCCCTGTTCAGCTTTCTTGTGCAGTTTTCAGAGCTCATCAGCATGATCGTGGAGTCATTAAGGTTGGAAAAGATCTCTTAAATCATCAAATCCAACCTTTGAACCAGGTTGAATCCTTTGATCCCTGAGCTGGGAGCTGTTTCCCAGCTATCAGCTCTGCCTGGCTCCCAGCAGGGACTCTTGCTGAAACAGAGCGACTGCAGACTCTTCCCACTGGATGCTTCCTGCCCACTTAGTCTGGCTCTGTGGTTGTGGTGCACTTATCCTTCACTTCAAGCACTCCACATCCCTGCTGTGGGAAGTGCAGAGACAGGCACAGACAAGCCTTTGATCTGATCAATCCCAGCCTGGCATCTTTATTTTCCCTCTGAGCTCAGCAGCCCTCTTGCACCGGGTCTTGCTGGGAGCCAAGTGTGTAGCTCCATGCCTGCCCAGATTATTTCCTGGAGGGACAGAAATGGTGGGATCAGTGGAAGCAGGACAGAAATGGTGACAGCTCAAGCCTCATGTCTGTGAAAACACATGTTTTGTCTTTGTGTTCATTTGATAAATGAATTTGACATCTCTCCTGGCTCTGTAATTAACTTTCCTTCCTTTCTTTCTTTCCACAGTATGGTGATGTGCTCAATTTGTTGATCTCCAGCAGGAAGACTGGGAGTGCAGTGGTGGAATTTGCCACGGTGAAGGCAGCTGTGAGTGTGCAGAGTCCCTGCTGGGTGTGCTGGGGGTGGCACAGGACAGGTGACAGCCAGGACACCACTGCCCTGTCATTAAGGCAGTGGAGAAGTGTAATGAGAGTCTAAAGGCACAGAGGCACGGAGGGAGTGGCACAGCTGGAGGCACAAACCCAGAGATCAGGCACATAAACAGGTTGTGCTTGGAGCAGGTTGAGGGAAGAGGCACTGCCTTAAAAATCAGGCACTGAGCACTTCCTCAGCTCTCTGTGAAGATGGAATGCCTTGGACTTGGGCTTTTGTGTTTTGGAGGTGATATCAAGCATTAGTCAAAATGTCTTGACTCACTTGGAGCTATAATAATTCATGTGGCTGTGGGAGGAGAAGTCATCAGTTACCCTAAATTTTAGGAGTTCCATCACCTTGGGCTGTTCAAGAGTTTCCTTGTTGGCTTTTCTTTCACTCATACCCAAATAATAAAAACCCCCAGAACTGTGTGCAACCTGTATATCAAAAGTACTGACAGGGGAATGGACCATAGAGGTGCTTCTCATGTAGGGCAGCTGTGAAATCTGAGGGTCATGGAATGGTTTGGGTTGGAAAGATCCTTAAAATCTTACAGAATGGAATCATAGAATGGTATGGGTTTGAAGGGACCTTAAAAGACCCTGCCCTCAGCCATGGGCAGGGACACCATCCACTATCCCAGGTTGCTCTAAGTCCTATCCAAGGCCTTAGACACTTCCAAGGATGGGTTTTATTTGTGCCCTACTTGGCCTTGAGGTCATTCTGAGATGGGAACATGATTCTTAGTGACTTGTGAGGGAGCAGGGTCTGAAATTCAGGTGGTGATGGAAGGATGTTTTCCCTGCCAGGAGATGGCTGTGAAGAATGAAGTGGGCCTGCTAAATAACCCCCTGAAGATTTCCTGGCTGGAGGGCCAGCCCCAGAGCCGCCCCAGCACCGTCCTCCCTGACAGCACCAGCCATTCCAGGACCTCACAGGTAAGGAGAATGGGCTGTGGGATGGAAATTTGGTGCTGTAAATCTCAGTGTGCTCTGTGGTTGTGGTCAGATGGAAGGTCTTGGGGCCAGGCCTGGCTTTCCCAGCAGCCCTTTCTGTGCTGGATCAGTGGCTTTTTAAATCACCACTTGTCTGGGCAGCAGCACACTGGGAACTGGAGCTATTTGGATGACTGGATCTTCACACATTCCCTTTCTCCCAAGTGAAGAATAAGGATGTTCCTTGTTCAGCCTAAAGTCTCTGGTGCCATTCTGATGTTGGAATGGTGCCATTCTTGACTGTTGGAATCCTCTGAGTGAGAGCTGCTGAAAGGTTCCTTTAGAGAGTCTTGGTTACTCACTGCATTCCCAGGAGGAGGTTTCAGTGCTGGAAGCAAACCTCTATTCTTAGGGTCTGCAGGAGGGACAAATCTCAAACTAAATACTCTTTTGTGTGTTCATTCCCTAAATATATTAAGCTTGTGAGGTTGTTCAGTGCATTCACTCTCTTGGTGTTTTATTAAGATAAATATTATTATTTTATTTATACAATTTGTAATTATGCATCAGAACACCTGATTGTTATCCTGTCTGTGTAGGACCAGGGAGAGTCCTGCAGCCACAGGAGGTTCACCAGAGTGTGAGGAAGGAAACTGGGGCAAAAAGCAGAATCCAAAGCACGTTATTTGAGAATTTTTCACTAGCAGAGAGTGGGAACTGGCTCATCCCTACCCAAGGGGGTTGCTGGTGCAGTTGAAGCTTGGTAGTGGATTCCAGGCTCTGTGGGTTCAGATCCCTGAGTTTGTCTTGGAAACATTCCATACCCAGAGCTTGTTAGTGTGGAAGTGCAGCGTCTGCCTGCGGTGCAGGATTAGTGTGGTGGGGCGGCAGAGAGAGCAGGAAAGCAGCACACAGTGCTGGTGACTCACCTCTGCCCAGCACAGCCTCCTCAATCCCACCTGGCTCTGGGAATGTTCAGGAGCTGCTGCCAGGGACCTGCATCCTTCCCAGGAGTTGCACAGTTGGTGCTTTGCTGTCCTTTCTGCTGCTTTTAGCTGTAAGAAGCTGCACTTTCTGGGATTGCACTGGAGCCTTGCATCTCCAACTGCTCTCCTTCCTGTTTTTCCTTGTTCCTACTCCAGACCCTCCCCACATCCTCCTGCTGCATCCACTAGGATGCTTCTAAAACCTGTAATGTGTTTACAGCTCCTCTTGGCTGATCTGCTTCCAGCTGACTTAGCTTGTTCTCTCCAGTTCAAGACTGTGCAAAGTGAGCTCCCAGATCCCTGTTCCCTCTGCCTCTTCCCTTCACACCCAGCCTGGCTTCCCAGCCACCAGACTCCACAATTTTGCTTCCAGGCTGCACTTACCTCATTCTGATTCAAGCTGCCCTTGCTTCCTATTCGCTTCCCCCCTCTGTTTTTGTCTGAATCCACCCCCGTTTTGTTCCCACTCTGTGCAAAAGCAGCTCCTTCGCTGCTCTGCTTCAGGAAACAGCCCAAACCTGCAGCATTCTCATGGCAACGCGCTCACTACTCACCCTCTGATCCCTGCCTGGGACAGGCAGCCAGGTATTCCCTGGCTATCTGACCTTGGAGAGCCAGCCAGAACCTGAGTGCCAAAATCCACAGGTAAAGGGCAGCCAAACCCCAGCCACAGGGTTTGGAAGCAGCTCCCAGGTAGAAGCTGTGCTGTGAGGAGGCTGCTTGTCTTCCACAGCCTTGTTGTCTCCTACTGCAACAGGTGCATGTTGTCCAGCAGTTCCTGGAGAGCTGCTGGAGCCAAGCAGGCTCCAGTTCCCCTTGGAATTCAAAAGTTGTGGCTTGGCCAGTGTTACTCCAGGCTACTGAGAGCAGTGGCTGTGTGATGGTTCAAAGCACACAGTGGCTGCAGAGAGCTTGTTTTGCCACTCCAACAGCGTGCAATGCTCATTTTTTTGGAAGATTTTCCCTGCTCCTGCAGTGGAACCTCCCTGCCAGTGCTCCTCAGCCATTCAGCCCTGAGAAAAGCCTCCTGCCTGGTGTTCTTGTACCTGTTCTAAGCTCCTTCAGAGATTTCAGAGGGTTTGTTTCCTATTATCTGACTTTGGGAGGTGCATTTCACAGGCTAAGAGGCAGCTGTGCCTTCCCTAGAATGTCCCTGCACTTTGCTGTGGCCACTTCCAAAACTCCTGGCTATCTGGGGGTATGGAGGTTTTATCATTGTTATTTTTTTAAAAGAACTCTAATAGTCAAAAAGGTAAGAACTGGTAGTTTCTTTTAACCGTTTGTCCTGGTGCTGCCCAAAATGTTCTAAACCTGGCAGAGCCTTTACCACTGTCCAGCTCAGGGTGGGGAACTGTTCCTGTCGTGCCCCAAGTTGTGTGATCTCTCCTTGGGGGAAAATCAAGTCCCAGCAGCTCTGTCCTTCCCTCAAAGGTTCCCCCCCTGCCCATCATAAAACCCTGCAATTCCAGGGAGGATGGACCTGTGCTCCCAGTGCCTGGGATTTCTGTGGCTTTTTCCCAAGGAAATGAGGCAACCAGACACTTCCAGTCACAGATACATTTATTCTTCTATGTCTGTACAGCTGGGAGCTCAGTGCATGCGTGAGGCAGCAGTGTCAGAGACATCTCTTCTCCTGCCAGGAGGATAAATCCATTGCTGGTGCTGTATCAGGAGCCTACTTGGATGCTTACCTGCTTCCAGGCTGGGAATGTCACCTGCACTGGAGTTGAGGGAAAAGAAACCCACAAGGAGGAAGAGAAAAAACGGAGGAACAGCTTTGAGCTTTCACATCCAAACGTGGTGGGAGGAGAAGCCCCAGTTCCCGTCTCTCAGCCCTCAAAGCTTTGGCTTTGGGGTGCAGTGCTGCTGCCTCCTTGCAGGCTGCCTGCTGTTCCACAAGTGATCCATGACAAATCCCTGTGCATCTCTGCCCCACAGTGTCACATCCCCAAAATAAGTCCCAAAAAAATGCCAGTCTTCCCTGAGGAGGGGATGTGCAGTCCAGAGTGGGAAATTCCCGGGGTGGAGAGTGGAAAGTTGCCCATGAGACAGAAGACTGTGCTCTCACCTGAACACGGAGCCCATGAGCTCTGCTCCAGAGGAATCCTTGGCAAGGACAGGGATGGTCTGTGGTGGGCGAGGTGAGGACAACAAAACAGGCCACACACAACAGGCATGCTCCAGTATCCTTCCTCCCGCCGGAATTGGAGGAACTGGCAGCAGCAGTGAGTAACTGGGATGTGATGGACAGTGAATACCTTCAAATGGCGTAATCCCTCGGGTTCTGTTTCCTGAGGGTCTGCAGCACATCCTCGAGGAGCGATAGCCCCAAATCCACTTTGAAGGACAGGAAGGGGTCAGCCAGGTCGGGAAGAGTGGTGCTGTTTGGGAGACCTGCCTCTGAGGTGCCGCGGTCTGTAGCCTGGTCCTTGTGCGTTGGAGTGGCTTTGTGGTACGGAGCAGCGTCAGAAAAGGAGAGGTCAGAGTGGGAATCTGTGCGATCGATGATGTTGGGGCAGCTGGAACTGTCCAGGTACAGCCGGGGAGGCTTGGGAGGGGCTTGTGCCTTGGCCAGGTTCTGCTCGCTCTGACAGGACAGGTACTCAGACTTGTCCTTCAGATCCCTCAAGCCTTCCCTCTTCTGGCCATCTGTGTCCAGAGTGTGGCTGTTCTGGTTCAGGATGATGACTTGGTTGCCCAGCTTTTTGTGCCTCCTGAGGGAGAAGCGTCGGAAGAAGGTGGTGGACTTGATGGACCCCCTGCGCCAAGTATCCATGCTGAGGAAAGGCAGCGAGGAGCAGGAACGCTGGCTCCTCACAGGCGGGAGCCGAGGGATCGGCAGAGAGCCACGCAACAGGAACAACCTCTTCCTGCCCCGTTTCTGGAGCTGCAAAGAAAACAGAGAGGCTGGTAGTGCAGGAAATGCAAAGTCCACGCTGTGGCAAGGAGCGCTTGGCTCGTCTTGGATCTCAAGGAGTTTCCCCCTGGAGTGGAGAGGAGCGGCGGTGCGTGAGGGAGCTCGTCAAACGTGTGCTGCGGCTCCGGGCTGGTGGGGAACAGCAGAGGCACAGTCACCATGAGAACAGATCTAATCTGGCATCTAGAACAGAAGGGCACTCGGGTGCCATGGTAACAAGGCACCTTCTGCGGAGGGGCACCGCCGGAAAAGCGCCGTGGGTGGCTGGGAATGAGACGGTGACTCAGTCCCACCGAAGGAACCCAGGGAATACAGGAGAAGGGGGATGTAAAAAGCAGCAACACGGGAGACAGCGTTGGGAGAACGGAGTGCAGAGGAGACTTACGCCCTGTTGGATCAGCCCGGAATCCAGGAGCGGAGAGGAGAAAAGCTGCTGGAGCACTCGGAGAACTGGGCCTGCCACACTCACCAGGTTGAAGAAGCTCTCCAGGGAGAGCTCAGCCAGGAGTCCAGGAATTCAGCCAGGTTGGACCCAGAATGCCAAAGCTCCCCAGCGCTGTCGCTGCTGTCCCTTCATGAGCCACCCGTCGCTGCTTCCCGGGCTGCGGCTCCCTGCGTGGATGTGTTTGTTTTGAGCCAAGCCCTTGCTGAGTCAGCCACGTCAGAAACTGGGTTTTACTCGATTGGTAATTGCCAGGATTGCAGGAAGTAGGTGTGTGGAGTGGCAGAGCCTCAGCCCACGCTCAGGCACCCAGGAGCACGTGCTGGGAGCCCACCTGGATCAGGCTGTTCTCCCTCCTGCCACTCCGAGGGCTTCTCGTGTCAGTAGAGCTCCCAAACCAGGCTGCAAATAATCTCCTGGCTGTTTTAAATTTCAATCCCAGTGTGAGGTGGGGCTTCAGGTTTGTGTGGGTGATTCATCTGCATGAGTCTCATGCAGCCTCTTCCATCCAGCCCAGCAAATTCCTGAGGTTGGTGGATGGGACTTGGAAGGATCCCGGCTGAGGGCTGATACCATCAGTGCTTTCTCAGACACTGCTGCTGCCAGTACCCAAAGGTCATTTCGCTCAGGTGGCTCCTAAGACACCAATTAGACTCTTAATTTCCCTCTTGATGTTCTTTATCTGTTGTGGGCTTTCATTGTGTCCTCGCAGCAGCCGGAGGAACCACTTTGCTGGCACGGGATAAGGAATTGCACTCGCCCATGTTTCCATGCAGAATCTTACTTAGGCATTCTATTGCCTTTGTATCCCTTCTGCTTCCTAAGAAATCCTTCAATATCTGGAGAAGCTGTGGCTGCCTCATCCCTGGAAATGTTCAGAACCAGGTTGGAGCAGCCTGGGTTAGTGGAAAGTGTACTTGCCCATGGCACGTGGATCCAGATGATGTTTAAGATCCCTTCCCACCCAAACCGTTCTGGGATTCCGTGATTCTCTGTGATCACCACTTAACCCGCTTCCTAGAAAAATGCATATGAAGGGGGGTTTTTTCCATTCACCTTCTGTCAAGACACTCTTATTTCCACCTGAACTGTCAAGGAATGAGCTGGATGTTTCCAAGCCTTGCAGTGCTTTCATACATCCAAAATAGCACGGCCACCTACTAGTGTGGAATGGCTTTGGAAGCAGCGCCAAAGCACCGGAGCAGCTGTCATCTGCTGCCCACGTTCATTAGGCAGAGTCTGCAATCAACTGCCTTGACGTGACAGTTGCTGCCACACGTAGCAGAAAGGCTCTGGGAGCTTTGGGAAACTGTTCCATTCCTGTGTCAGGCTTGGGAATATCGCTGGTGTTTTTCTTTCTGCAGTTGCTTAGAATCACAGAATTGTTTGTGTTGGGAGAGACCTTTAAGGTCGTTGATTGCAGCTGTTAGACTCATGGAGTGGCTTGGGTGAGAAGGGACCTTGAAGCCCATCCAGTTCCACCTCAGGGCAGGGACACCTTCCACTATCCCAGGTTATTCTAAGCCACATCCAACCTGGCCTTGGACACTTCCAGGGATGGGGCAGCCACAGCTTCTCTGGGCAGCCTGTGCCAGCACCTCACCACCATCAGACAGTTGGAAGTTTCATGACTAATCCACACAAAGGTTTGATTTTTTATGGCAATTAACCTTTATAACCGGTGAAGTGTACGCTGGACTTTGGGCACCAACGTTGTTAGTGCAGGGTGATCTTGTCATCCAAAATAATGCCCCATCCAGCCTCATGGAATGCTGGCTCTGTCTGTCTCACTTTCCTCATCAACCACACTTATTGCTGGTTATTTGTAATAATCATTTTAATAACAATTCCTGGTTATTTCCTGTAGCCGGGAAGCTTTCACCCACCTCACCCGATTTCTGTGGGATCAAACCGCATCCTGCCCAGAATTCTGGTGTTGTGAGGGGGATTTGGGGAAGGTCTGGGAGTCTGTGCTGATCCTGATGGGTTGTGTGTGTTTCCTGCTCCTTCCTAGGCGTCAGTGGTGTCGGAGCGGGACTACGAGAGCCTGGTGATGATGAGGATGCGCCAGGCAGCCGAGAGGCAGCAGCTCATCGAGCAGCTCCAGCGGGAAGATGAGGAGGAAAAGTCTCACACTTAGCATGACAGTATGGATTCTCCCCACCCCTCCATCCCCCCAGAGCTGTTTCTTAATTTAAGTCAATAAACCTCATTTCTTTTTAAAGGTGTTGTGGGAATAGAATCTCCCAGGGACTGCAGCCCTGATCCCTTTCCAGGTTTGGGGAAGGAATGCTTGGGGTTCACACAGTACAGGTGTTGGCATGTGTGTGTGCAGAGCAACTGCCCTATCCCATGGGACAGGATGTGAGAAGTGCCATGAGAACAACCAAACCTTGGAGCTTGTAATTCCTGAAAGCTCAATTTGGGATCCAGATGCATCCAGAGGGATCTGGCAGCAGTTTTAAACAACCCACAGAAGGACATTGGTCTCTTTGAGCAATGTTTTATTGGTGCTAACCCCACAGCAGGATCCATGCACAATTCCAGATGTTCCAGCAGTGTTTGGATTAGCACCTGGAATAGTCACACAACCTTTCTGTGTTATTTTGGAAATCCCATGTTAGGCTTGGATGGCAGTCTGGGATCTGGAAGTTTGGTGGTGCTGCTGAGACGGAAACAGGCCTTGCTGTCAAAGGGAAGGGATTCTCGGGGCACTGGGAGTAGGTTTAGTGGTTCCCCCTTAGGTTTTCAGGGATGAGATGGGATGGTGTCCGTGCTTGGTGTCCCTCCCTAACCCCTGACCCAGGAGAAGGCACAGAGCTCTCTGGGGCAGCCCGAGGAGGAGGCAAACAGGGCTGTTACTGAGCTTCCTCCAGGGCATGCTGAGTACATGATTGAAATGTAAAAAGCTGGAATTTGCCAGACTGCCATCCTGCTGAAGGCAGAGCTGGAGCCATCTGTTCCCTCTGCCTGATTCTGGGCATACCTTCTTCCCCCTGCTCTTGGGAAATGAAACAGGGATCTCAAAATTCCACTGGTCCAGCTCTGCCTCTGTGCCATTCCTCCCCCTGCCCGAGTGCCTGGAGTCTGGGACAGGAAGGAATTAAGGGGGGAAAAATTTGCTGCCAGTCGTATAAGATGATCTCCAGCAGGATGTTGTCTGGGTGGAATGCAGGATTCTCCCTGGCTATTCCCTGTGGAGGCACCAGACCAGGGTCTGGCCCACACCAGTCATGCTGACCACGCGGTAGCCGAGGCTCTCCAGCTTGTCCAGGACCACGCGCGGAGCGTCGTTCACGTAGTACTCACAGCTGCATCCAGGAAAGATGGGAATAAGGTGAGCTGGGGAGGAAGAGGTGGGAATTTCCTGGTGGAAGTGAGCCTGCCTCGCTCCTGATCTCTGTAAGACCAGCGGCCACACCTGGCACAGGCGTGTGTGTGACACAGGGCCTTGGTTAACCCCAGGGGAAGGCACAGCCCAAGGTTCCAAACCACGGGAATCCTGTCCAGGAGGGAAGGATCAGGTCGAATGGGAATGTGGCTCAGTGGGGCTGGTGTCCAGAGCCACATGCTCCTCAGTAACTGGGCTGATGCTGCAGCTGAGGGTTCACAAATAAACACAGTGAGCACATTTTTAACACCCAGGAATTCATGGATGAGGAGAGAAATGATTCAGGTGTTTCTGAGGAATGAAATCACAACGTTTTACCTATGTCAGAGCATGTCCGTGGGATGGGTGGGTTTGAGAGACTGTTGGAATTCGGGGATTGCAGCAAGGTGCTGGTTTCAGCCAGGTGGGAAACCTTTGGAAAGCCAGTAGGTGAGGTGGAGCCCAGGTTCCAATGTTCCAGCAGTGCCTGGGAGCTGATACCGGGATCCTTGATCCTTGTCCAGCTCTGATTCCCCGTTGGTTTGTGCTGGCTCTATGCTTGGAGCAGAAGCTGTCCCACATTCCTATTCCTCAATCCCAGAAGCTTAAGGGCTGTGACATTGCTTCCCAGTGAAGGGACCAGGCACAGGCTGGACTGAATTGGGTGGGGACAGCTGAGCTGAGTTGGCCAGTGGGAGCTTTGGCACTGGATGTGCCAGCCTCTCCTTTGGCAAAACTTTTGGAATAAGGCCAGAGCAGCTCAGCTGTAGCTGACTTGCAGTGCCGGATAAGCAGATAATGATAGGCTGCAGGATCACTGGGGATCCTGTTTGGGCACCTGAACAAAGCCGCTCCTGCTTTTCCTACTAATAATGATAAAAAAAGATCTCCAAAAGTCTTTCCAAAGCTGCTCCTGCTTGGATTTTGGAGCCGTACTGGAGCTGGGAGTGCTTTAAAGCACGAAATAACCCGAGATGTGAGAGATTTTCCAGTTTCTCAAGACAGACTGTACTTGGCTGTAATTATAGATGTGGTGTAAAGATAATGTGCATTATTATAAGTGTCTTTGAAGTCTCTTCTTTCTCCAGAAGGGTTGCCACATACCCTTCAGATTCATAGTGGGAGCTGGTAAATATTATTTGCATTATTCAGAGGAAATAGCAGACAGGGATTTGTAGGAACCTAAAAAAACGGAGTAGCTGAGTTAAAAGCAGGAGGGAAGAGTTCCCAGGGCTTTATCCCAGCTGTGTGTTGAGGGAAGTGAAGATTGCACACTGTGGGTATCAGATACGTTGCCGTCTGCGTGTGCATCCAGTCAAGATGGAGGGGCTGGGATACCTGCAAAGCCTTTTCTTCCAGGTAAACCCCACCCCAGCCCTTGCCCCACCTGGCTGCCCCAAGGGCTCTGACCCTGAGTGAGAGGGCAGGGACCACATCCCTGCTTCCCACACCTTCTGAGACTTAATGAGGGGCCGTGTGTCTGTGCAGAGCTGCACAACAGGATCCGTGCGCTCCCTCGTTACAGGGATTTCAGTTTCACCTCTACATCCCAGTTTCCCAGCAGGTCCACACTGCTCAAGCTCTTCCTTTCAGGCTCCCTACAAGTCATTGCTAAAGTTTTGGGGCCCAAGGTGCTACAGGAAGGGGGTTTGCAGCATCCATAGCCACGCTCTGCTCATGAAGGAATTAGGGATGGAAAATCCTGCTCGGCCACAGTGCAGATCCTGGAGCTCCCAGCCCTGGTTGGGATTCTGGAGGAGGTGGCCAGGCTCGCCCCACTGGCACGTGCTGTGCTCTCGGGGGTGCCAGCAGCCACATTCCAGCCAGGGGACTTTCCCCACTGCCTGTTGCTCAGGCACACACGAGGAGGACGTGCTGTGCCGCAGGGATGTGCCGTAGGGATGTGCCGTAGGGATGTGCCGCGGGGACACAGCGGAGTTCCCAGCTGTCACAGGCCATGCCAAGGAGCAGGTGGGGCAAGAGGTGCTCAAATGCTCCAGGCCACAGGGAGGGGAGAGAGGTGGTGAACCCAATAGGGAGATCCCACAGGAAGCTTGTATCCCTTCCCCAAAACAAGCAGAACATGGTGCTTCTGTTCCTTACAGTGCTGCGGCTCCCCCAGCTACTGGGGCAGTCACCACAGGGGCTTTTATCTGTCTTTGCCTTCCTTTTCCACCTGAATCCCAGGGATCCTTGCCCAAATCTCTCAGGCTCCAGTTCCTTCTTGGAGCCTGTTGTGTTCCTCCCCAGCTCTGTTTCCCATCCCGTTGCACAACTCCTGGCTCTGCACGGCGGGTGGCAGCTGGCAGTGCTGCCAATCTCTGCCCACCCACGGGCTTGGGAATAGCAGCACGAAGCTGGATCAGCCCAGCAAACCCCTCAGGAATTCAGCTGGGATTGGGGTGGGGGGCTCAATACTTACATTTTATCCTCCTTACTATTAAAATTTCCCACCCCACTCAGATTTTTAATGCTGCAGCAGCTGAGGATCCAGCCCTTGGTGTTGGCGAGGCTGGTGCTGAGTAGGAAGGTTTTCCCAGCTCCATGGATTGAAGCTTGGGAACATTTGGGATGAGATGCACCTTCTTTTTTAATGCCTTACCCTTCTCCTCCTTTCCCTACTCCACACCATGGCACACTGGACACAGCAGGAATTGAGCTGCTCCTCTCTGTCAAGTTCTTTTGCATTTGGGGGTTTGTTTTGTTTTGCCATTGTGGGATTTTTATTTTTTTGTTGGTGGTTTCTTTTTTTTTAATATGCTTTTGTTTGTTTGTTTGTGGTTTTTTGTTTGGTTGGTTTGTTTGGGGGGGGGTTGTTTGGGTTTTTTCCCCCAGGGAAAACCAAGAAGTGGTATATCAAGTGAAGAAAAAAGAAAAAAAATGTGGGTCAAACCATGAGGAAGATGCTGGTCACAACTCTGAGTGGCACTTAGCCAAAGGCTGGGGTCAAACTCAGCATGGGCAGAGGTGGGGACATGGAGAAGTGTCAAATATCCACAGCTTGGGAACACGCCAGTGGAGGGGTTGGAGTCTGGGGTGACACAATGGGAAACAGCTCCAAACCCAGGGATCAGCTGCCCATGGAAACGATTTGGGAGCTGTTGGCAAGGGCTGGCTCAGGTGAAACCTCGAGCTGCACTGGAGAGCAGGATGGGATGGACAGACAGACTGCAGCTGGGAGGGACAGGATGGACAGAAATGGGTGAGCATTCCGGGTGTCTCAGCACCCAGAAAGGCCACAAGCAGAGTAAGGCAGGGATGGCACTGAGACAGGGAAAGGGGGGTCAGGTGTTAAAACAGGGTCGGAGCAAGGGAAAATAAAAAACCAAGTGGAGTACCAGGCAGCATTTCCTCATTAACAGGACACATGCAAGTCCCGGGATTAACTGTACAGCTGGAAGGTGCTGTGGGGAATTCCAGGAGTGAAAAAGTTCTGCATTTCTTGGGAAAATAAGGAGAGGAGGACTTACAAGTTGTTCCCCAGCGTGCTCCTCTTTGTGGCCCCCAGGATACTCATCAGGTGGGGATCCGAGTGCTCGTCGCCCACCATGGTGGGCCCAGCCTCCTGTGGGACAGGCACAGAGCGGTGAGTGACACGTGGTGACATGGCCACCCCCCTGATCCCAGCACAGCTCCAGTGAGAGCCCTTAAGGAAGGGAATTGCCATCAGCCCATCCTGGGAGGGGCTCAGTCCCGGCCACTGCCTGGAAGGTCCAGCTGCTCACCCGTGCAAGGGCAGGATGGGAAGTTTCCAGCCTCAGCTCAATGCCAAGTTTGACACTGGAAATGTTTGCTTTGCCCCTTTGGTAAAGAGCAGAATTTCCAAAGTCTCTGGAGGGCAGACTGACCCCAGCTGCTCCAGGCTGTTCCCTCCAGTGCCATATTCCATATGCTCCTTCCTCATCCAAAATCACTCAGTCATCTTGCACGACCCCAAATGCCACTGCCAGCAGATGCTTTGGTGCTGCAGCATCCTCACACCCCGATTCCCCACCCCCTGTTGTTCCCTTTGGGACATCTCCAGTGGCAGCAGTTGCAGTGCCCATCACAACTCCCTCCCTTTGCTCATTTGCTGTTTCCACTGTCCCTTCTTCATGCCCCAAACCACACCGGCAGATCCAGGGAGGGATGATTGTCGGGAGAAGGGAAAGCTCAGATGAACACACAGCTGTGGGCTCCTCCAGAGTGCTGCAGGATGTGGGTGCTGCCAGTGCCGGGGAGTAGCGTTTGTTTTGTGGCTTTATCTGACAGTGACAGCCAGCAATCCCACCAGTGCTCCCGGACGGTGATCCCAGCCAGAGATCCCAACCACTGCCCTGCTCCTGTCAGCTCCAGCCATGCCCGCTGCCTTGGCCGCCTTTTCCACCCTGGAATGGCTTTTTGGGGACGAGGGAAAACCAACTGCGAGGACAAGTGGAGCCGTCCCTTTGGCGTTCGCTGGATCCCGCCGCAAGTTTCCCAAGTCAGTCGCTGTTTGGGACAGGAGGGTTTGGGGCAGCAGAGCCGGGACGGGGGCACCGGGGGCTCTCACGGAGTCGTGCCGGACACCCCACACCGGCCACGGCCGCTGGGGCACAGCCTGGCCGTGCTGGGGGTCACCCCTGACCCCCCTCCAGCAGCAGCAGGGCCAGCACCGGAGACACCGCGGGCTGAGCGGGTCTCACCGCTCGCCCCGGTCGGTCCCTGTCCGCCCCCGGGAATTTCCCGTCCCCGGGGGTCCCG